AGAACCCATGGGAAATTTTTTTTAAAGCCTGAAATATACTTAACTATGAAGTTATTTCAAAAGGTAATTAGAACACTTACAGTGTTTCTTTTTTAAAGGTAAAACTGTTTTAAATTTAGAACAGTAATTTTGTGCACTAAAATAATATTTAGCATAAATTATCTTTGGATAAGCATAGCTGTTTGTCTTAATAGTAAGTATTTCTATATAGGAGTTGCATTACATTTTAACATAACAGATAATGCATACTCTCGCCACGGCCGCATTGCATACTTTACAGTAGGCTTCACAGGAAATAAAATATGTACACATACACACACAGGCATTTACACTTGCATACTCACACCTCCACAAGGCAAAAAACAAGTTTGTACAAATGAGCGAGGGAAAATATCAGCTTAAACAGAGGTTGCTATTTTTCTTGATACTAGACTTTCAATATTTGCAATTGTTTTTTCTGAGTGGGAGAAAAACGGACTTCTATTACTCTTTTCAATTTAACGTAAGCTAGAAGCTGCTCTCCTAAAAGGTCCAAATCTTAGACTGTCTAGACCTTGGAGGTTTGAATATCCCAACCGGGCAGACACTGCTCCAGACATTATGAGAAACAGAAGAAAGGAAAATCCTTGCGGTGTTTCTCTTGGAACAACACAAAAACTAAGGAAGCACACATACATTCAGTACGAAATGCACTGTTGGCGCGAAATGCTGGGATAAGTGGTAGAAAATACATTAAACATAAAATGGAATTTTGACCAAAAGAAAAACATAGTATGAGGTTACAACCAAGAACACCATGTTTACCTAGGAAGAAACGTGAAATCCAGTCAAATACTGCAACCTCGTTTTGCTGGACACATTACCAATCTTATCACAGACGACCATGTCACTTGGCTGGAAACATGACTAAGCCTGTGTGTGTGTGCACCCCGGTCTCATGCCACCCGTCCATCAGGATTATTGTGCTCTGCACTGAAATGCTATTTTGATTTTTGATTGTGTTGGCAAAATAGGACCACGCTTTTGGACTGAGATGAAGTAGATTCTAAACAAATCATGACCCGTGTTATGCTGGAAAGGACTTTGAAGTCAGTCAGGCATTGGGGCAATGACTGCAAACCACTGGAAACTTAATGTTCTATAAAGTTGCTGAGGGAGGCATCTGATCAGCCACAGCTTGCTGGACCGTTCCTGAGGTGACAGGAGGTGATGTGGGTGGTAGAGTCCAAGAGGAGACCCTGCAGGAAGGAGCTGAGAATGGCTCTTGCTGCAAATCAGGCAAAATGTTACTAAACGTGACTCAGAGAAAGCCATGGGGACAGCGATGGAAAGAGTCTACAAAGTAAAACAGATTCTAAGCGATCAGGACTGCAGGATGGAAGGAGAAAAATGGTAATAAGTAGGAACAAGCGGAAAACGGTGGAAGCAGGGCTTGGTTTTATATTTATGATACTCACTAAAATTGTTTTATGTAAGACATTTCTGAAGCTGTATATAGAAAGCAATCTGAAAAATGCAGCACAGGTGCCTGTGACTCAGCCTAAGGTTGCTCCTTGTCTAGGCTCCATTGCTGCTCTCGCACTCTGGATCAAGGAGCGAGTGACAGCTCCATAGCACTTATATGTACTGAACAGAACCAGTCCAACAAATGAGCATCACCGAGAGTCTAAAAATGATGCCATCAAGAAATCTCAGATGTGTTACATGGGCACACTATAGGATCTGTTGGCATAGACTTCATACTAAACAATGGCATGGGAGTCCATCAATCAAAGCCAACTGGAACCATTTAGGATATAATCAAATACGACTGCTAGCATGACCATGAATGACAGCTAGTTCTTAATGAGCCTTTTCATCTACAAACTGTTAGAGATAAACTCATTTAAAATTATTTTTACATTAAGTACTCAACACAAAAAATAGAAAGTAATGCTCAAGGTAGAAATTAACTTGCTGAAGTATCCTGTAGTTAACTTTAAAAAATTAAAAGCGGGAGGGGGTGGGGGAAGGGGGGAGAAATGGCCCAAACATTGTATGCAAATATGAGTAAAAAAAAAATTAAAAGCAAGGGTTGTGGGGTAGGGCTCAAGAGACAGAGCAAGCATGAAGCCCTGAATTCAAACCCCAAGACCACCAAAAAAGAAAGAAAGAAATGAAAGCAACTGTGTAAATGCATAAGAGAAATGACCAAATAGCAAAGGCCAATGACTTAGGGGTTATGTTATCTGCAAATACAGTATGCATCAACAGTGTGATATTGATGTTAAAAAAATTAGTTGGCTCTTAGGCATTAATTACAAAAATATTCCACCCAGGTCAAGGATGGCCAGGATAAAAGAAAAGGATACTCTTTAAACTGGGTCTCTTCTTTCATCTGTCTAACAATAGTAAAGTCCTCATACTCTCACAAAATATCTGGAGTCATAAGTGACCGAGAACTTGATATAAGCTATTGACTTTATCCTCAAATACAAACCAGTTCCCAAATTGGCATAATTTGTAAAGTCCTCGTAAGGGTCCATGGACTTCAGGTTCTTACCTATAAGTTTTCTGAGTAGAGATACATTCTAATGCATTGGTGTAGCTCTGGTAATGTTAACATTGCCTTGCACTCAGTGGATCAATGAATGTTTAAGTGATGGATTTGATAAAGGACAAGGATTCATGATCTGTGTTATGGTTTAAATATGAAATGACTCTTACAGCTTCATGTATTGGGGGCTAATGAGACATGATGAGCTTTTAGGAAGTGATGAGATCATGAGAGCTTTGACTTCTTAAGTGGATTAATCCACTGCTAAGATAACATGACAGCATTATTGAGAAGCGGTGAAGAGTGGGAGGGAGTACGTCACTGGGGGCATGTCCCTAGGGCTACGTCTTCCTGTACACCTTCCTTTATTCCCCTTTCTGTGCTTCCTATCTGCCATGAGGTGAACTATTCTGATCCACCATGTCTTTCCTACCATGATGGACTGAAATCTCTGAAACTGCACACTGAATAAATTCTTCTTCCCTTAAGTTGTTTTTGTTAGGTGCTTTGTCATAGCAAAGAGAAAAGTAAGCAATACAATCTGAATCACATGGACTGACAGGAGACTGGAAAGGACAGTCTCCTCCATTCCACTTGGTGCTCCTTAGCCTGCCTACTTTCCAACCTCCATACCCACCCAAACCAATGGACCCCTGGGGTTTCCTCAGGAACTCTGCCTACCTTGTTCATAGCAGGTTCACATGGGCTTGTAGCACCTATTGCTGAACCACTAACATTGGACTTCAAGGGTCTTTACTTTTCCCTGCTGAGTAGAACTTGCAAATAAAAAAATGCCACTTAATGGTTCATTCTCGATGGAAGATTATGTGAGCATTTTCACAACCAGAAAATGGGTTGAATGGCAGTGATCTGGTATGTCCTGTTGGCTCAGATCACGTGTGCCTTTTCTCTCCTGCGGGGTCCTCCACATGAGATAAAGCAAGGAAGGACTCTTGCATTCGGCAAGTCTTTGTAAAAGAAACAAAACCGGTATCGGACAAATGAAACTAAGCTAAATGGCAGGGAGAACTTCCACATGTATTTATGGTGTATAGGAAGACTGGAGAACAGTTGTGTGAGTACTTAGTGGAAAAAATACTAGAATGAGTTCAAAAAGTTAGTCTTGAGGACTTGGCTCATCAGACAGGAAAACAGGATCCTCTACAGATAACTTCTCCATTAGAGTTGACTTGAAATGTTGGGCTTTATTTTTTCCAGCTTTTTTTTTGGCAGTATTGGGGTTTGACTGCAGGGCCTTGTGCTTGCTAGGCAGATTCTCTATCTCTTGAGCCATGGCTGACTGCCCTTTTTGATTTAATTATTTTTCAGATAGGTTCTTGCTTTTTTTTTCTCTGTTTTTTGCTTGGGACTAGCCTCGGACTGTGATCCTCCTAACTATGCCTCCCTCATAGCTGGAATAACAGATAGGCACCACCAGGTTTGTTGAGATGGGGGTCTCGCGAACATATTTTTTGCCTGGGCTGGCTTCGAATTGTGATGCCCCCAATATTGTCTCCTAAGTAGCTGAGACCATAATACTCATGAGCCACTGCACCTGGCCTTTCCCCAATTTTGATGCAAGCAAAATCCATAAACTAGCATTTGCAAATAAGAATTAGTTTGCAAAGCCAGATTTCATCTCATTTTCATTTACTTAAATTGTTTGATGTAGCCATTTGATAAGATAAATAAGTATATTTTCAATTCAGTCATTAAATAAACTTTGCTCCTCAAATCTGAAAGCATTTATTTTTCTTGATAAGTATGTGAAAAACTGTACTCTGGACATTCTACAGAAACACTAAAAATGTCCCTCAGTTAAGTGAACTAAGTATAGTATTCAAGTTTAAATTCCAACTGTTATAAAAATGGTTTTCCAACTATTATAAAAGTTTATTTTAATACTACTTCATTCTTGACATATTCTTATTTCCTTCCTTACACTGCTGGAACTCAACCCAGGGCCTTACACATGCTAGGCAAGTGCTCTGTCACCAAGTTACATCCCCAGCCTCATATTCTTATTTCTCACTTGAAGAAAGTTTGAAATTCACTGCACCTGCTTTAAAAATTAATTACTTAGCATTAAACTTAAAGGTGAGAGGATTTCCAACATATGGGCAAAACAAAGATTTCTTATCTCAAAACCTAAGGAGTGATGTAAAGATGAAGTATCTCACTGGTATCAAATAGACTCCTCAGTGGCTACTCAGCACTCAGAAGTCCTACCTTCTACAGATCAAATTTTAAATTCACCAAATAACATTGTTTCTAATATGATTTTCTAAGAGCTCAAGATGAATGAGTCAGATCAAAGGTTCGTTCCCCATGTCTCAGGCTGACTTTCATCCCCAGCTGGGTGAACAGTCTTGCCAGAGTGTGTGTCTTCCTAGGACTGCACATCCTTGCTCCTGGGTGAGCAGCCAAGCCATCCTCCCAGACCCAGAACAGGATGAAACCACTCACCTTTGGATTAGGGTGCCGGCCGATGACCAGGCGAACGGGTCCTGGGGGACACTTGCTCAAGATGGCATGCACTTTGCTTAAAGCAGCATGGCGAACGTTGACAGAATTCACTTCCAAGATTTGGTCTCCTCGGCTAGAGAGGGTGACAGAATCAACACATTGTTGTGACAGTTTATTAAAAACTAAGAAAGCCTTCCCTTGGGGAGAGGTTTCTGATATGAAATCTTTTCTGAATATTTTTAAAAAGCAAATGACATTCTTTCATTGGTCTTTAAATTGACAAAGACCATTATCATATTATCTGGCATTTTCAAGAAATAGTAAAGTTAAATAAAACTGATAATAACAACAACAATGAAAGCTACAATTTCTTAAGTACCTACTGTATGCCAACCCCTGTACAAAGCAATTGTATAACAATTATATACCTTCTAACACGTATAATTATTCCCATTATGTGAGAGACTTAGAGAGGTCACTCAGTTATCCCACACTGCTGAAGTAATTCAGGTCTGTGTGACCCCTGGTCATCACATGATAGACCCCTCTTTCTTCCCACCATCTTGAAATGATTATTGTAATATAATTTAAGGAGGAAATATCTGAAGCTCAAAGGTTACCCAGGAATTTGTAAAAATGCTTCAAATTTGAACAAATGAGAAATCTGGACAAGTTGCCCATTTTAACTTGAAATTATAGGGAGGGGACTCAGTAGGAGAGAACAAAGACTCTTTACATGGGGTTTGAAAAATGTTCATTTGGAAGGCTCCAGACATATGGAACCATTCAAATAAGAAACATCATCTTGGGATGTCATTAAAGGATTTTTTTTCCCTGGGATTCTAAAAGTATATTTTCTTTAATGTACTTTGGATGATTTGCTAAGTTTTTTTTTCATATGGAATTTCACTCTGATGATTAACTAAAAATGTAATATAATCTATTAACAAAGCCCCAAAATGGCAACCTCAACGAATGCTATTTTGTCAATTCTTTAACTGGTGAAAGACTTAGAAGCTTAAGGGAGAGGAAGGTGATACTGTTTGCACAGTGCTGTGTGTAATATGTGTACATTCTTGTGAAGTTTCGGTGGGCTCTGACCAACTACAACACTATATAACGGAGTATTTAGACATCTCTGTGTAAACAGAGCATTCATGATACAACTGTCCGGATTAAGGAATTGGCCACTCCAGGATTTCAGACAACAGGCACCTAGACATCACCACTCAAGCAGGAGCGAGGGCCATGGACAAAGTTCAAGAGCTAATACTTAGTAGAAAGGTCTCTCCTTCAAGGCCTTGTGTTTTGGACTCTTGAGCATCTAGTGATTCTGAAACATTATAAGCAGGTCCAGTATCTTCTTATGAATTTTGCAAAAATGAATATAAAGGTAAAAGAGTACAGTGAGATAATCATAGATATCTGCATAGATGTGTTTTTTTTTTTTTTTGTCAAGATCCTGAAACCGAACTTCTGAGTCCAAATTAGAATAAAACATGTAGGTAGGGAAGCCAAGATCCACAGTTGCCTGATTTGACCAAATTTCATTTACATAAGTTTTTCATCTTTGGAGATGCTATTAATTGTAGTCTTAGCTACATTATGGAAAATAATTCAAATATATAGAATTCCACAAAAGAATGTAGTAGAGCAGATTCTTTTGTATTCCACAAAAGAATACACGTCACATGTGGACGTGTAGTCACACATTCAAGAACACACAAGAACCACACGCCATCAGGGAGACGACCAACCTCAGGTTGCTCTCCATCTTAGCCACTGATCCTGGGGCAAGGCTGTGAATGTAGATGCCAGGAGGGCTGTTTTCCAAAGCCAGGCAGCAGGCTCCAATGCCTAATCCAACTCTTGGCTCTGTGAGAGGGGTGTTTCAAAGAACACAAAAACAAAAGCTACACAATAACCAAAATAGAAATATAACCAGTTTGAAAAATCATTTAGTTTTGGTCCAGACTCAGAATGTAGATCCTGCTTTTTTGTATCCAATGGTCTAGTGTGCCTAGAGTAAAGATTCTCCTCAAATTTGTTTTTGGAAGTAGGCAGAGTATAAGTAATATTTTTATTCTGGATATGCAACTTTTTAGGCTTGTTGTGCCTCTCCTTTTAGCAACTAATCTTTTGGTTATTTAATGGTTGATTATCTTTCTCCAGTAAGTGGGGAGGACAAGTAAGCAAAAATAAAAAGTGGTAAGATTTGGTGATCATCCATGACCCATGACTACTTACTGGTATTAACTGTATTCTTAACTGTAATCTTTAATTCTTTAAAATGTTCTGAGTCCTAGACTTAAGCTACTTGCGTTTTTTTTTTTTTTTTTTTAAATCATGAGTCTCTGACACACAGTGATTCATCTGGGGAGAGCTTAAAGCTTTATGCTACTAGTAACTTCCCCTTACTTTTGTAAAGTGACTAAAATCCCTATTTTTGATCTCACCGGCCATTTAGATAACACCATCTGTCGTTGATAGCAGATGGTTCCAAAGGAACAGTCCAAAGAAAAAATCAGAAGAAAATGAATGTAAGTACAGATTCCAAACTGTTATTCAGGAGCAATGGATGTGAGGAATGCAAGTGAGGAATAGCTAGTATCACCTTTATTGAGTGTGACTTCCATGACAATCCTATCCTTGGGCCCAGGGGCCTTCCTGCCCAGGGATGAAGAACCACCTTCATCGGAGCCTCCTGCTGAGACCCCCCCACTGGTGTTGAAGTTTGGGGAACTCGATCTACTCATATGTGTGGGGGTGGAGCAAGGTGTGAGGCTGGGGCTCAGCAACTTAGTGCGTACTGTTAAGACAAACAGCCCACTCCGGATTTGCTGGAACACAAGAAGGAAGATGGGTAAAACATTCACACTCTTCTTATGGTAAAGGGGAGAAAAATTTCCACAAACCCAAACTGGAAGCCAAAGGAGATAAGAATGCTCTTACCTTAAAGGTGTGAATGGCTTCCTGAAATGTCAAGCCCTTTATTGGAATTCCATTTACATCTAGGATTTCATCCCCTGGTGACCAAATATGAGAATTATGTTAACATTAAGCTTTAATTTGCTGGAATCTAATTGTTTGGTTAATACTACACTGAGATACATATGGTCCCTGATTAACTACTGTATAAAGTGATTTTTGTTGCTCTAATTCACTTTTATCAGCTTAGCTTCCAGGAATGTCCCCCAGATGGAATAATTAATAAAATTATCTTTTGTTAGCCATTCTATATCCCAATCCTCAGTTAAAAAAACTATGGGTCCTGAAGGGATAGCGTGTGAGATTCAACTCCCAGTACCAAAAGAAACAAAAAAAAAATATGAGAAGCATTAAGATCTTACTCTTTAGCCATTGCCAAGTTTGACAACAGCTATGCTATGTTGAGAAATCAAACTGCAAATATTGAGTTTTGAGAGTTTCCTTATTGTCATTATTTAAAAACCTAAGACTGGCAACAAAGCATAAGCCCACGGGCACAACACTGAGAAATCACTCCTGTGTTTGCAGAAAGACAAGCTTCCCAAGCCCAGAGGATTATCACAGAGTATGGAAAAGAGTTTCAGCGCTAGAGGCAAAAGCTTGCTGGAGATACTATGGAGAATCGTCTGGATGCCTGGTCTTCCTGGAGTAGATCCAGGCTCTCCATCATTAAGCTGGCGAGCTGCTATAGGCTTCTGCCTCAGACATTACTGTAGGGTAATGTCAGATTACTTTGGTGAGGTCAAATTGTGAGTATGTGCACACACAAGCTCACTTGCCCCTCCTCCGCCTCACGCTATCCTATCACCTTCAACCTTAAGAAAACATCCTCAGGGCATTTTTTCAGGCTGTTGATAGTGTCTGCTGGGAATATAACAGATCTTGGACATCCCGTTGACTTATAAAAACTCATTTCTGGTTTGCACTCTTGTGACATGGGCTGGTTTTTGGACTAACAGTTCATTAAACACTACAAAGACACCCTAGAGGAAGAACAGATGAACCTAAAAGAAAGTGCAGAGCAGGATAAAAACACACTTTTTCACCTCTCATGCCAGCCAATCCCGGGAGCACACTGTGTATGCAAGGAGAAATCTTGTAGGTGAGTTAAGGAAATGTAGTGATGCCCAAGCGTTTGTCTATGCCTGTCTTTAATGCAATCACAGAAGGTGTAGAGTAAGTGATATAACCTCTCTTTAAAACCCACCTGGTATAACCAATTGCTCTGTTTTGTTTTGGAGTTGTAGCCACATGGGAATGATAGAACATTAAAACAACTGCTCACGCTCTTCACATTTACATGAGATTTTAAAAAGGCACGTCACTCAACAGGTTGAAAATCGATTCCAATGACTTACATTTCTCATAATTGAGTACATATGAAAAACCAGTATTAAGGAGAATCAATGCTAATAGCCTGTCCTAACTATTAATTCTTTCCCTTCCATTTTGTTCCATTCTACCAGCCTTGCAGGACGAATTTTAATCAAGTGAACACATGGCATGTCCATTATAGAAAATTTTCTGCTAGAATTTTACATTGTTCTGAAATTAGACACTAACACCACCTGGAGGTTAACTTCTCAAAGAAAGAGAAATACATATTCTGCCCTGGAGGTAGTAAGCCTTGTCATGTCATATTGTTAGCATGTGTGGCTGCTCTGCCTAAAAAAAGGACATTTCACTTGACTCTTATCAGTTAAAAAACCAGCAAACCAGTATAACACAATAGCCTCTATAGCTTGGGACAGAACTGGACAGTAACATTTTAAAAGGCAACTAGAAATACTCTGATTTAATTATCTCTGAAAGAAGTGTCAATAAAAGGAGAAAAGAGAAAAAAAGAGGTGCATTCATGCTTTGGTGATGCGATTAAAATATGTTCAGTGGGTTCAAACCCTAGTACTGTACTGTCAAAAAAAATATATTCAGAACCTGTTAATTTTGCTTTATCAAAGAATATAATCTTAGGCTAGTCACAATTGGTGATACTGCAATACCAGATACTCAGGGGACAGAGATTGGGAAGATGACAGCTTGAGGCCAGCCTGGGAAAAAAGTTAATGAGACCCCATCTCAATCAATAAGACATGTGTGGTGTTTCATACCTGTGGTCCCAGCTATGCAGGAGGACTTAGGTAGGAGGATTGAGGTCTGAGGCCAGCCCTTGGCAAAAATATGAGATCCTACTTGGAAAATTAAAAGCCAAAAATGGGCTGGGGGAGGGGGAGCATGCTTAATTGGTAAATTACCTGCCTAGCAAGTTGGACTGTGAATTTAAACCCAACAACATCAAAAATCCACATAAGTATTTCATAGCGAATATACAGATATCATATATATAATTCTATTTATTAAAAGCAGCTATTATATCTGTACATAAAGGAAACTTTGACCTATTCAAAATTTCTCTCAAGTATCATGGTATATTCAAGATGGAAGAATGAATTTGGAGTCTCCAGTCTTCTTGTTTTCAACCAAGGCAGCAGTTGTAAGGTGAAGTAAACTGAGCTGGGGTCACAAAACTCTGCATGAATTTCCCTGCTGCTTACTAAGAGTGGGATGAGTTTCTAGTTACTTAACATTCTGCATGTCTGTTTCCTCATTTGTAAAATGATCACTCCTGAATGCCTATGCTACAGGTTTGTAATGCAGTTAATAAAATCAATATATGGAAATACTTCATAACTATTTAAAACACTCTAAAGTATAAGGTGCATTTAAACATTTAAAAATGTTTATTTGCAATGTTTATTAGCACCTCAATATTACCTCAGTTTGCATCCAAAAGCACTTGTCTAGTACATTTGTGTGGATAAAATGGTAGGTACCATGGAGAACGTAAAATATGCTTATGTGGGAAGCATGCCACAAGATATTGAGTGGTTACTAATGATTGGGCACTCTGCCAAGATACCTCAGCCTGAGGTAAGAATGGACTACAGAACTCTTGAGTTCTCAAGGCAAAGAACAAGATCAAGGACCAAGCAGACAAGCATGTAGTCCCAATAATAACATCAAGCCACTTTTCACATATTATCTCATCTAATTAATATTTCAAGTTTAGAGCTGAGAAGAGTGAAGCTACACTTGATCTTAGCCAAGCTTAGGTTACATCAACTGTCTAAAGTCATGATGGGAAGTGCTAGATCAAGCCCAGGTCGATGGGACTCCCACGCCCATGACCTTAGCTACTGGGCTATTCAATTCACTTCTTGCCAAGGGGAAGATTGTCATGGAATAAAAGCTCAGTGTCACTAAGGATTACCAAAGGGCTTTCCCTACCTTCTTTGAGTCTTCCATCCTCTGCAGCGGATCCATTTGGGAAAATGGTCTTGACAAAAATCCCCATCTGGCCTCGAATGCAGTCTCGACCTCCAGCAATGCTAAAGCCAAGGCCCTATGTTCAAAGCAGATGTGAGCTGGGTTGACATTACAGTAATTAACTGAGAGCATATTCTCACGGTAGTATTTAACTGATAGCATTCTCTCACGGAAGTATTTGATTGAGATATCCTTCTAATCAGCCTCAGAGTTAAGCTAGTCAACTAGCTATAAATTCCAGTTTGCATCCCTTCTCTGTTTCCCTCTTGATCTATTTGCTTTATACCAGTTGTGCACTACATTAGAGTCGGGGAAGGTTTTAGGTTGATACTTACAAAATTGTCAATACTGAACAATCTTTGACCTCTAAGAATGGCAATTTCACTTGGATCAACTAAATAGCCTTTGGGAGTCATGTTTGTTTACATACTGTAGAGGCCATATTTGTTTCAGTCTTTCATTTTATATAATATCAAGGAAGCTATTTTGCTATTGTGTAATATTAACTTATACACACCATTCCTTTTATGATAATGGCAATGACATGAAATTTACTCAAAAGGGTAACTGGGAGCACTCCCCTCCCTGAAGCTACAGTTCTGCATTTCTTTCAATGGAGGTAAAAGTTGGGAGTCATGGGTTCAATATCCACGACCAAAAAAATAAAAAGAAAAATTGATTGGGGGTCATTCATTCCATTCTTGATTTGCTCTACCACCAGTCAGGTGCTCATGACTTTTCACGTCACGAGGACCAAGAGGGTGTGACCATCTCACACACTGAGGCCTGTAGGAAAGAATGCCAGGGAACCAACACAAAAGCCACCTTATCTGTCTCTCTCTATACCTGTTACTTTTTTAGTTCATGTGAAAACAAGTAATAAATTAAAAATGAAAAAGGAACTACTTGAGAAATACATACTACCATGTACCTGGAGGGCAAGAGAATCTACAGGAAAGAGCTCACCTTGCCTTTTTCTTTGTATAGCCCAATGATGGAGATAACAGATGGCCGGATGAGTCTCCAGGGAGATTCCACGTGAGTAGTGCTCAGGGAACGGGTGGATTTCTTCACAATGTGGTATTCCTAAAAGCCAGCAGGAGGCAAGACCAGAGATAGTTTCACTTACCCTGTTGTAGGCTCTGGCTTACAGACTTGGAAAATATTGTCTTTTGTTTTAGACTGCGATTTCTCTCTGGTTCATCTCTGGTCCAGTGGCTTAAAGAAAGTTTACCAAAAATAAATCTTGGAGGAGGAGGCCTTACTGAAACAGATTGCCATGCCTCTTCCTTCATAAAGACCTGCTTAGAGGCCGTAAGCACCTGCGTTGCTCTTCCCCTCACCACATTCCACATCTCCTTCTTATGGAATGAAGTCAGAAACCAGAAATCAAGAGTTCTCAAAGATGCAAAGTGACCACCCTGTGGTCAGGTTCTCCTTGGAAATCATCTTCCTGCCCCACCCCCACCCCAAGTTCACAGTCATGGTTAGACAGTATCTCACTATCTTAAGCTTAACTTACTCATTCAGAAACTCAGCAAGCCCTTGTTTCTTATAAAATGCAAACCATAAACCCAGACAACTGTTATTCCACATAAAACATCCCACCGAGACGACGGCAACCGTTTCAGCTCTAAATCCCTCATACTTGGAAAATAAAATATTTTCCTATAAGCCACACTTTCCCTTCTTGGCACACAGCAGCTCAAACCTCAATTCTTTTTTGTGTCCCTTGCCCATGATATTTATGTATGTTAGCAGGGTATTTATATCATCATCAAGAGATTAACTGACTCCATGCTAAAGTACTTCTACAGCTCAGCTCTCTGCTATTCTTCTTAGAATAATAAATATCTTAAGTGGTGCAGATATTCTAGCACCAGCCAAAAACATCATTTCATGTTTAATATAAGAAGAGAGATATCACAAAACAGATTTTATTCTTAATTTGTGTATGCTACATTCAAATGTACAAATGTCCCCCAGTGATAGTTTTGTATCGCTGGCAGCTTAGAACAATTACACTGTGAGATTTTACAAGATACCTGCCAATAATGATGTGGACCTGGCAAGGGTACTACCCTTTTACTGAAACCACTGCAGAGAGGGCCAGACACAGCCCATAGGTTGCCAAACCTCAAAATACAGAGGTTCATGTGTGACCTCAATCAGGGAACTCTTCCTCTGATCACTAATCTTCAGTACTGCCTTATTTCATTCATCTCTCCTTTGGGCCCCAGCAGAAGCCAAAGGCCTGCATGCTTTATGTGGCTATCTTAAGAGTTTCCGGGGTCCCCCTGAACTTTCTAGACCTATGCTGTCTAATACAGCAACCACTCACCACCAGTGGCTGTCTACATTTACATTAAGATAATTAAGATTAAAAATGCACTCCTTAGTTTCACTAGTCACTTTTCATGTGCTCAGTAGGCACGTACGGCTGCCATCTTGGATGGCACAGCATAAAACTCTTATCTGTGCAGAAAATTTTACTGGATAACTCTTCTCTAGGTAATAGGAGGGATAGAAGTTAGGAAAAGAGGAAGGTGAATCCTGGGAGAAAAAAGAAAAGTATAGAAAATAAGAGAAAGAACAATTTGAAAGGGGAAAACTTTTCTAAGACTTTGTACAATAGCATTTCTTTTTTTTGTTTTGTTTTTTGTTTTTTTTTTCTTTTCTTTTTGTACAGTAGCATTTCTAACCAGGTTAGAAATGGTCAGGTTTTCTCAGTGGACAGATAAGAAGTCACCTCCTTAATGCTAAGTCCTGGCTATGGTGGCATTCGACTCTCTCAACTTCATACTGGAACAGCCTGACCATGAAGCTCTGCTACCACTTTCTGGTCTTCCCCTGTCTCTGTGAGTCCAATTAGGTCATTCTGAGCTGGCCACAGACCTGTCTGTCTCCAGTTTGCAGGTCTGGGTGAATTTTTTTTTTCTTCTCTGGTTGAGTTTTAACAGACTTCATTCAGTAATCGATGGGTTTTCTTAGTGCCTCACTCTTTTCCACTGCTTTTGGGTGAACATAAGACAAAACAGCCTGATCAACAACTGCCTCTGAAACACGGGTACTTTTACCTCCCGGTCAGGTAAAGAGCACCAGAAACAACACAGATAATCCTGACAAACACCCTCAATCATAGTCATGGAGCTGCATCTGAAAACGGTCAGAACACACCAAAAGTAAGGGCCTCTCCCAGATAACCTGACTCAAGACCTTTAGAACACTATTACCCATGAGTTCCCAAGCACTTATGGGTGTAGGTGCTGCCACACCCCCTCCTCCAGCCTGCTTCATCATAGGCCTGGGGACAAGAGGCCAATGGTTTCCTTTTGAGTCCTCTGGCTAATGGTACCAGGACTCAAAGAACCCCACAAGTTACCTTGATCCTGAACCTGCTTCTAACTTGGGGAAGTGTCTACGGGTTGGGGATAATTTGATGGAGGATGCACCCACACAGGGTTATGGAGCCAGAGCTCAGATGGGAACAGGCTGATTGTTAATGACCTAAGACTTAAATCACCTCTCTCTACACCCCCACTTCTGACCCTGGCTGTTTGAGTTGTCATTATACAGCAGGTAGGACCCCAGGTGTGGCACAGGCACACATGCACCCCCCCACCCCCCCCACGCATAGTTGTTATGCTGACACACGATGCTCCCATAAAATAAGTGATGGTGGTTCACCACAGACTGGGAGACGCCATTGTCTCCTGGCAGTTGAAAGCAAATCTTAGTTCCAAAACACACAGCAAGAAGGGAATCAAGATGTTAAAATCCAGTAAAAGATTCCTTTCAACTATCAGGCTGACTTCTTTCTAGTCCTTCTGACTTGATTCTCTCTGCTGTCTCTGTCTCTATTATCTCTCTAGCCCCAAATACTCGTGGTCCACATTGATGGGAACTCCTTTTTTTTTTTTTTTTTGCAGTACCAGGGCTTGAACTCAGGGCCTTCACCTTGAGCCACTCCACCAGCCCTTTTCATGTTAGGTATTTTTGAGATAGGGTCTCATGAACTATTTGCCCAGGCTGGCATCGAATTGCAATCCTCCTGGTCTCTGCCTCCTGAGTGGCTAGGATTATAGGCATGAGCCATAAGTGCCCAGCGATGGCAAGTTCTTCCACCAAAGCCTATGCTGGCCTTTGAAAGAAAAAAACCCAAACAAACAAGCTTGGAGTCTCGGGACCTGGAAAGATGCTCTTTTATCCCTAACCATGCAACTGTGACTGAGTGAACCAAATGCTCCCTGGCCCAGTATTGACCTGCGATGTCCCAGAAGAGTCCAGCAGCTGGGGAAGGGAGTGCTTTCTGCCATCTCGGGAGACCTCCAGCATCCTGGCCCGGGGTCCCCATGACGCACCATCAGCTCGTTATATTCTTCAACAGACTCTAGGCGGTGGACACCCCCTGGAAAAAAAGGGTGAGGAAATGTGACTTGATATGGAATGAGAAGACTCTTAAAAGCATCCACAGGCACAAACATGCTGTATTTACAACAACATGGCCTCAGAAGGCCTAGCATTCAAGACACACAAAGCCCTAAGCTCACACAATTGCTAACACCAGATCCTGCATTATTAACTTGTGTGTCGAGAACATGAATGCCAAGCTATGAAAAACTGCCAGTTTTTGAAGTGACCAGACTGGCTAAGGGGCAATGTGCATGTTTGATCCAAGTCATATGTAGGTATAATGGGACAGACAATAAACTAGTGAGGAGGCCATCAGTACGTGGGCTTCTAGATGGAGGAGCACCACTTTGGGATTGGTATGGTTCCATTCTTGAGAAGGTGTTCCCCCCCACCATATAATAATGACTTTTTGTTTGTTTTGAGACAGGGTTTCACTATGTAGACCAGGTTGGCTTCAAGCTTGAGTTCTCCTGTCTCTGCCTCCTGAATGTGCCGCTATTCCCAGCTTAGAAATGAAGTTTTGTTTGTTTGGTTTTGGTGGTACTAGGGTTGGAACTCAGGGCTTTGAGCTTGCTAAGCAAGTGCTGTACTGTTTGAGGCACACCTTGACATCTCTTTTCTCTGGTTATTTTGGAGACACAGTCTTGATTTCCACCCAGGGTGATCTGGACCTCTATCCTCCTAATTTACACTTCCTGCCATAGCTGGTATGACAGGAGAATGCCACACACTCAGCTATAGGTGTTAACTTTTTGCCTGGGCTGGCTGAAAGGTGATCTCCACCTCTGAAGCTGCTTGGATTACAGGTGTGAGACACCTGATACTAGTGATTTTTTAAATAAACTTTTATTAAAGTATAGCAACTTAAGAGAAGTGTGCACAAGTCCTAAGACAACAGATAAGTGAAATTTCATAAGGTAAACATACCACTAACCAACACCAGGATCAACATACAGAACGTTAATCAAAACCTCCAAAACCCCCTTTGTGCCACTGACTACCCTTCACCCAACAGTAACCATGGTCTTGACTTTGAACATCATAGATTGCTTTTGCCTGTGTTTGAATTTCATATAAAGATTGTGTTTAATATGTACTTTTTGTGTGTCTGACTCCTTGATCTTAATGTTTATTTGTCAGAGTCAACCATTTTGTTTATATGCCAATAATCTCTTCCCCCCAATTCTGTATAATATTTCATTGTCTGACCATACTACAATTCATTTATCTGTTCTATTGTTCGTGGACATTTGACTTGTTTCTAGCTTTAGATCTTAAAATAAGGGTCACGATTTTTTTTTTTTTTTTTTTGTAAGGCCCACATAGTACATGGTTTTGGCTTTGTGGGCCACAAATGGTCTTCATCTTATGTTCTTCAATCTTTTTCCAGATCACTGAAAATATAGACAGTATTTCTGTTTTATGGGCCACACACATATAGCTGTGGGCTGTAGTTTGCTGAACCCTGATATAGAATATACTGTTATTGGATATTCTCATACCTGTCTCTTGCACATGTCATTTCTGTTGGGTAGTACCTAGATGTGGGGGTGCTTGCTACAGGCTCTTTACCTTGGCAATGTTGTCTCACCAGCATGGTGAGTTCTAGCTTCTCCATATCCTCATCATGCTTGCTGTGCCAGTCTTTAACATTAACCATTCTGGGAGATATTTAATGGGATCTCATTTTGGTTCTTATTTGCATTTTACTGATAACTAATGAAATCACATTTCTTTTCATAGATTGTCTGTTTTTGTTTTGAAAAGTGCCTGCTCTTCTGCCCACTCTTTTATTGGATTTCTGTCATTTTCTTATTGATTCATAGTATTAAGTTTTATTTTTAATGTATCTTAGTTACAAATTATTGGTGGGATCTATGTACTGCAAATACTTTCTCCATATCTGTGCCTTATCTTTGACTGTCTTTTTTTTTTTTAATTGTTGTACTGGAGGTACACTGTGATATTCACAAAAGTTCTTATAACATATCAAATATATCATAGTTGAATTCACCCCTCCATTCCTGGAATAGTTTCAACAGGTGTCATTTTTCCATTTACATACATGTGCACACAATATTTGCGCCATATTCACTCTATACCCTTTCCCCATATCCTCCCCTCTTGCACTGGTACCAACCCCCCAGACAGGATCTGTTCTGCTCTCCTGTCCTCTGATTTTGTAAAAAAGACATTTTTGTTTGTTTAAGATAGCTATATAAGGAGTTTCCTTGTGACATTTCAATGTATATATGTATTATAACCCGAATTGATTCACCTCTATCTTTCTCCATTCTACCTAGTCCCCTTTTTATGGTGATTTCAACATCTTTTCACTGTCTTAATGGTATTTTTTTGATGAACAAAAAGCTTGTAATTTCAACATGGTACAATTCAATCATGCATGGCTTAATGACAGGATACGGCTTAAGGAATGGGTCATTAGGCAATTTCGTCATTATGTTGACATCATAGAGTAAACTTACATGAACTAAGATGGTGACAATATTAGGAGCTATAATCACATCGGAACACAGTTGTTTACGAGGCCTATTGTTGACCAAAACATTACATTCAGCACATAACGGAATGGCATTTATTTTACCTTTAGGGTGAGTATTTTGTGTCTTGTTTAAGAAACCTTTGTAGCAATGACTCTTTGGTTTTGTTTCACTTTGGTGCTGGGGATTGAACCCAGAGCCCTGTGATTGCTAGGCAAGTGGTCTACCATTGAGCTATAGCCCTGACCCCTGCGGTAATGACTTTTAAGGAGCCCTTTATCAATACCTTATGCTGCACACTATTTTAAAAAAAGATAATGTAAAGGACTTTAATCTTAAATGATGCATCAATTACATATGAACATGGCTATGACCATACTATACTATTTATAGTATACACTACATGTTATAAGTTTGCTTGAATACCGAGATATACATACAGACCTCACAGACTGTGTAATGATTCATTTGATAACCGAAAATTTCAATCTACCTAGAAATGTCTCTTAAAGTTTTTCATAGAATAAGACAGGATAACTCTGTACTTTTAAAAAGAATATATTGATGAGTTTTTAAGTAGTGATACAAAGTCAGAAGTGTGCTGATTCAGTTATATTATAATGGATGTGACTAAAGGCTTGGCTTTTCAAAAGCTAAGTATTAACTTTGTGAAGCAGCTTTTCAAACATCTGAAATTCCTTTGCAACCAAGGAAAAATTTGCATTTAAAAAGATCACAAACCTAAGGGATTACTACAGAAAAATCAAAAGTGCCAAAATTAAAGAGGTACCCTGCTGTTAAGAAAGGAGGTGTGAAGTAAGGAAAACCTGGGTTAGAATACCAGAAAAACGTTCCATGAAATGACAGATGACGCTGCTTTAGTCATTTTGGAGCCAGACTGGGCAAAACCCTAGTGGAAATGGCTGGAACCTCCTTACAGACATTTTAAAATAATTCATGACTTAATAATTCACAGCCAGATTAATCTCTCTCTTGGCATGCTTACTCTACTGAAAAAGATTTATTAGAAGAAATTCCTTTTGGGCTGACAGGAAAGCACTTATCAACAGGAGAGAAACCACATACGGTAGTGTCCATAGACAAAACACTGATATGTGAATACCACAGTGACTCACTTTAAGAGAATACGAAATAAACACCCAGGTTTGTGGAATGGATAATGGGAACTGATCCCATTAAAGTCTCCAGTATGCAAACGTTTTTAGAATGAATGTATTTCACAGCACGGAATCAAGGCCCAATTCCTTAAGCCTCTCTAACATGTCTCCAGATTATGTTTCCAGTCTTATCTCATCCTACCCTGCTCTATGAATTTGCTCTGTTCTGACGACTGTCAAAGGAAAGGATTTGTCCTTCTTTCTGCTCCTTTCCATAATCAGGGAGTATAAATATCACATGAAGTTTTACCCAAACTTGTCTGCACTATCACCTCCCCTCTGAAGATTCTGCTATGCCTTTTCCCCTAATTATTCTGACAGGCTTTTCTGGATCAAATCATTATTGGTGTCTGATTATGTTGAGTCTTTCTAATGGTGGAGGAAGAAAAAGTTGCCAAAAACTTAATTTTTCCCCTCGTTGTTCCTAAAATCCCCCATTCATTAGGTCCCATGGCTAGACCACTGCTTTTTTATCTTGCTTCTTCTGAACACATCCTCCGAGTACCACAACCCAGAGAGACTTCCAGTCTTTGTACCTCTTGTATGTGCCTTATTGTGGCCATCACTGTGTATATGTGTGGTGCTTCCCAATGGGATTATAAACTCTGGAGAAGGCCTTTATGTCTGAACCCATTCAAACAATTTCCTCTCTTGAGGCAAGAACAGTACTAATGAAAACAAAAATTATGATGAACATAACACTATTGACCACAGCAGTTAAAACAGTGGCAGCCACCATGAGCTGAGGGCCCATTGCTGTCACACTCTGGAATGGCAGTCAGTGCCAACACATCCTGTCTTCTCAATCTTCCAACAATGCTGGGCACTCAGAAGTCTCTCACATTGACTGGCTGAATAATCCCCATTTTATAGATGAAGCAGCTGAGGTCCAGAAAAGTCACTTATCTCAGGAAACCAGTTCCAGCCGATGTATGCATGTGCTTCCTTTCCTATCCTACATGTCCTTGTCACAGGTTTGGATGTCCTGAAAGGGTTACCAGAGAGGGCTGCATACTTTGCAGCTAATAGTGGCCAGCCCTGGATTTACAGCTCAGCTGAACGTGTTGCTTATTCTAAATTAATAATATAGACAGAGCTAAACTAACATATGTGAAAGGCTCCCCACATCTGAATCTAGAAAGCCCTGGACTATGGATCAGAATTCCTTTTAGGATCCTCAGGAGGCCAAACGGTGGGAAGAATTTGGTGTGGGAGGCAGGTCCTTTTCCTGGCTCTAACTCAGTGACCTTCGGGATTTTCTTATCTTCTCTGATCTCATCCATAAAATAAGGAGTGTGACTGTGTTGGTTTCAAAGGTCTTTGTATTTCCTCAGAGCTCCGTGAGTCTCCCCAGCGACCATTTGCTTTGACAAGATAGTTGACCTCAGGGCGGTGACTCCCTGTCCCAAGCATACACGTGATTTCAATGCATCTCAGTTGTTCCTTGGGGTAGTGGGGAGCTGGTGGCCATCCCCAGGTGAGAACCTTCAGGACTTTCTCACCAGTGTCCAGTCATCACTAATTTTCTCAGTCACAAGTCCATGTGTTCTAATGCCCATTCATGTAGCACTGCCTAATTATTCTGAGTTACAAATATGAAACAATTAATTTTGCCAATTGGGTTTAAGAAGTGAAGAATTTTATGGGCCTTTGCCTGCTACCTTATCTGAGAGTAAATTCAGTAGAGGGCCAGACAAGGAGAAAAGGAGCCACTGCCTTCTCTACTAATTTCCATGGCAGAGAGGAAAATGGTATTTTTTTTGGATGTCAACACCTAAGCATTGTGCTAAATGGTTTTATGTGCGTTTAAAAAAGTCTGTCAAACTTTCAATGTCTGTTATTACCCCTTTTTTCAGGTAAGGCAGTGGAAGTCCCAAGAGGCTAACCAACCAACCCAAGGGCATAGGGTAACCAAGAACTGAGGGGTAAACCTGGTTCCATCAGGCGTCAGAGCCTTTCTTTGACTGCTGTCCCTGACGGTTGTCATGGGTGCATAGCCAGGGCAGATTTCTCTACCAGGTTAATAGACACAGGGCTAGGAACCATTCCACTTCCAGGAACCCACAGAAATGTCTACTTCTTTTTAAATGCAGAAAAGAATGAGCATCACAGTAACAGATAATAATGAACCCAGAATGTATCTTACCAATAGCCATAAAACATCATTTTTATTTTCTATGGAAAAAAAAGGGCCCAGCAAGGCAAAAGTGCCTTGGATTCATTAAAGTCACGTCTCTTGCACATAGCTTTGGCTTTTAATCCTGACTTTCTCCTTTAAGGCCTGGGCCAGTTACTCTAAGGAAATGCTCAGGAAATACAGAGTCTATTTGTTCTGAAAGTTACAAATCTACCCTATGTTTTTGCTGCTTAGTTGAGATGTAGATTTAATAGTCGATAAACAGTCCTTTGCCACTTGTTCTGGTTGGCTCAGGATTTTGGGGGAAGTGTGTCTGTTTAGAATGTAGGCTTTCAGGGATATTCCACCCTGAAAGGGTCACCTGAAGCCCCATTAAAATAAATGAACCAAACATTCAGGAAATTTAAGTTTCAGCCATGATAAACAGAGATGTTGACTTTCACTTTGTCATGGCTCAAATAAAAATATTCCCTTGGGCAGCAAGCTTAATGGAATGGATATGCCACGGGCATGCATCATCTAAGGAAAAAAACAATTTTGAGATTTTAAGGAAAAAAGGGTTTATTCTGTCAGATATGGTGGTTCATACCTATAATCTCAGTATTCAGGAGGCCATTCAGGAGAATTTTGAGTTCAAGACCAACCTGGGTTTCCTCAAACAAGAGGCTCACCCTGTCAGTGACACCATTACTCCCACCCCTCCCAGGGCTAGAAGCTCTCTTCAGGCAGGCTGCATCCTGCAGAACTCCCACTTACCTGAAAGACGACTCTTGAGTTTCATTTTATTGCCACCTTGTTTGGGACTTTCCGAGTTCCCCTTGGATTCCTCAGGGCCGCACAAATCTTGGGGCTCATCTGTCCCGGGCATCTGAAATGCAGACAGCGCAGAGCTGATGAGAGACATGGCATCCTGTCCAAGACGTTATCTCCAGAAGGCTGCAGGAGCAGCAACACAGTAGTCACGTGAGAAAAAAAGTTCGTGGGATCAGAGCTCAGCCCTTCAGATAACCTGGCCCAGATAGCACTGGGAAGGACGCCTGTGGCTGGCTCCTCTCTCAATCCACACGGAGCAGGCCTGTCACCAGCAGAGTCAATCACAAAGACACAATTAAGAGTCCAGGTCTCTTGGCTTGTGACTCAATGCTTTTCCTACAGCTCAAGCTGTAACAAATACTCAATTAGAAATTTAAACCCAATTCTAAGGTTCCCAAAATACAGTGAAACCTTGATTTTGTGCAAATAACTGCAGGCTTACATCATTTAATGACAGGAGTATGTTCTGAGAAGTGCGGTGTTAGGCGATTTTGTCTGTTTTGAACTTTGCAGAGTGTACTCAACCAAAGCTAGGTGGTTGGGGACAATCGCTTGGCATGGTCTCTCTTTTTTTTTTTTATTCATATGTGCATACAATGTTTGGGTCATTTCTTCCCCCTTCCCCCTGCCTTTCCCCCCTCTCCCTTGGCATGGCCTGTTGACATACTCAAGAGATGTGGTAAACTTGGGATGTCTGAGGCTGCTGTCGGTGGGATAGAGCATACTGCTTTTTTGGCAGAATATTCAAACTTATTACAAACTTATATCATTCAGTTACTCTTTCTTATTGGCATATATTAATTTTACAAAAAGGTTTCATCGTGATATTTCCATATATGCATATAACCCAATTCACCTCTCTATTACTCTTTATTATACCTCCCCTTTAAATATTTTTTAAGGGGCTTCATTTGTTCTTTTCATACATCATGTAAAGTTCCTTGATTATGTTCACTTCCCCCTCGTGCTCTCATTTTGCCTTCTCTCCTCCCATTGGTTCCCGTCCCCAGACAATTCCCTTTTTATACTCATTCGTTTGTTTTTTGGCAGCACTGGGGTTTGAACTCAGGCCTTTGCATACTTAGGCAGGCAAGCTGCATTACTTGAGCCATGCCTCCAGCCTATTTTTCTCTGGTTATTTTTGAGATAGTGTCTTGCTTTTATTCTGGACTGGCCTGGAATCCTGATCCTCCTATTTATACTTTCTGCAGTAGCTGGGACGATAGGGATATGCCACCATGCTCAGCTTTTTCTGTTGAGACAGGGTCCCGTAAGATTTTGCCCAGGTTGGCTTTGAACCACGATCTTCCTGATCTCTACCTCCTAAGGAGCTACGATTAGAGGTGTGAGTGACTAGTACCCAACTTCATTCATTTTTTCCTCTAAGTCTAGATTCCTCACATGAGAGAGAACATGTGATTCATGGCATGTTGTTTTTCAGTAAAAGTTTTTAACTAAGTAGGAGTACGTAGTATACTAAATAATACATAAACTAGTATGTATATTATTATATGTGCCATATTTTCATATGGCTGTGGTTTGTTTATACCAGTACAACCACATAAGTATAATCTGTTGTACTATGAGTAATTTGTCCCACTAGGTTATGGGAATTTTTCAGCCCCATTATAGCCTTATGGGACCATGGTTGCATGTGTAGTCCATTAATGACTAAAACATCATATGCACCATGTAACATATATCGTTCATTTGGGCCTCATGTTCTATGATGTGCTGCTGTACTCCTGATTAAACACCTCCTAGAATCAAATGCTGTCTAGCTTCTGTGCAAGTGTCAGTCCACATGACTACAGGTTGTATGTCTTAAAGAATCAGACCCCAAAAATTGATGCAGAAAGGATGATTCCCAAGGCTCACTGGGTCCTCCACCCTAGAAAAACCAAACATGCTAAAAACTAAAATATCAGTTTGGAAAGGGAGACTTACATGTTTGAATGTGTTTGTTAAGTTTATATGTACCCAACTTGTGAGCTATATCAAACATAAACTTCCTCTTTGAAATTTTATTGTCCTTAAAAAATTCCAGGGAAAAAAGTCTTACATTAAAATATGAATGTTAAGGAATGTATGCACACTTAAAAATATACAGAAGACATCCTTTGACACTTAGCAATTGTTGAAAAATCATGTAATCATGATGCAAAAAAGAAAAAACCCACCTGATTTTAACAGGTTATAAAATTATATATCAAGTTCAGTGTATAAAATGTATACAGTAAGCAGAGTGAGTCCCAAGTGACTCTTGCTGTGTGAGGTAATTATTTATGCATAGGTTCTGTACGTCATAAGATTAGGCAGATTCCCTTTTCTTCCTCAAACTCAGGGGTCTTTCTAGATAAGGAGGAGTACTAAAAGGTCTGAGAATGAGATGCTGCAAAGTTGAGGAAGGGGCACCAGGAAAACAAGTTAACTCTAACATGTGGCATAAAGATAAATCTGATGTATTCACATCACAGTGTCAGTCAGGGACTGGACGATGTCCAGGTTTAGATTATGAAGAAAAGGCAAGAATGAAATCCTGAAGACAATTTCAGAGATTCTCCAGCCACAAACCTAGTGCAAAAGAAATGTCTTTGAGATGTGCCAGTGGTCAGGACCACATGTAACCAGGAGACGTGCAAATTGGAATAACCCAGAAAAAACACTCCAGGGCTTCTCCTTTGCTTGCTTTAAAAACCTTATGGAGAGAGCCTGGCTCCACACTGTAAACGGCAATTGCCAGAGCCTGAGTTAAGTTCCTCTTGTTTTCCTACTAACCCAAGCTGCCAACCTTCAGAGAAAGGTATTCCCCAGGTCACTACCTCCCCTTTGGTGCCCATGAAGTGACTGGTTTATTACAGTGTGGCCAAGGCTGGAACCATCAGACATCCTGTCTGAGATGCTCAAATACATGGAGGAAGTTCATTTCAGCCTCCTCTTTCTGGTCTTATGAAGTACCCTCCTTGTTCTTCCTTTTTCCTCCCCGTTTCCCAACACAGCCTCAAGCTCTCACAGCATCAGAGCAATTCTGGAGACGATATAAGTACTCATATGATCACCAAAGAGGGGAAGTGGCCTGCCCAGGGCTTCTAAGCTCATTACAGCCATGACTGTTTCTTGATCCTCTACCTCCTGACCTTCAGCTTCACATATGACCAGGATATTCCCCCTTCACCTGAAGATACTTTTTAATTAAAGGAATAATTTGCATAGTCAATACAGTGAAGTGTTTAGTTTGCTCACTCCATTTTTTCCATTTCATTTTCACAGCAAATATATATCCTAAGGTACATAATATCACCTCCACTTGACAGATGAGGAAATGAAACCACAGCATTTAACTAATATTCTTTTGTTTATAACATATATTCACATCTAGAACAGACTGTGTGAAGAAAATAAAGAGTATAAAATGAGCATTGCTGAGGTACAGAGGAGCTCACATGTACGATTGTCAAATCTAAAGTCTGTAAGATGTAAACAAAATGCAATAAACTTTTTTTTTTTTGCTTTGGGAGTTTTTGTTTGTTTTTTTTTTTGGGGGGGGGGCGCTGGGGTTTGAACTCAAGGTCTCACACTTGGTAGGCAGGCACTCTCAGCCACTTCACCAGCCCCAAAAAACTCTAATTTCAGAAGATGAGAGAGGTAGTTTGAAAATAAGAGAATCAATCACAACCTTAAAGAACAATGTCTTCTTTTTTCTTAATCCCTCAGTGCACCAAAGAATGAAATGAAATTTAATTTCCATGATCTACAAAATGCCAGTAAGATTTCTTATGACAAAGAAACTTAGCCTCAAGACTAGGACCAACAGAATGGATCCAGAGATATTTCAAGGTGAGCAAAGGGTACATAGTTGAGATTAAGGCAGTAATGAAATCTTATTTCAGAACATACTGAAAGCATCTTATTCCATTTCACATTACCATAACAGAGTACCACGCACTGGGTTATTTATAAAGCAAAGAAATTTATTGCTCACAATTCTGGAAGCTGGGAAATCCATCATCAAGGTGACAGCATTTGGTGAGGGCTTCTTGCTGTGTCATTCCATGGCAAAAGATGAAAGGGCAAGTGACCGTGAGAAAGTAAACTCTCTTTTTTTGAAAGTTTTAGCAAGTATTTATTTTAGTATAGACGAGGGGTAAGGGGAGAGAAAGAGAGAGAGAAACATCTCCTGTTGCCCACAGGAAATGGGAACAAAGACTCAAGAGAAAGCAAACTCTTGTCATAAATAAACTATTCCCACAATGACAGCATTTAAGCATTCGCTCAAGAGGTTGCCACTTTTATTAGGCCCCACCTCCCAGCAACGTTGCTTTGGGGATTCAGTTTCTAACAGCATGAATTCACTCAAACCATAGCAATAGGATTCTGAATTTAAGTGGGACCGTTTCCTCCTGTGACAGAAAACTGGTTTGTCATTGTGTTAGGTAGCTTATAAGCCAGTGACCAGGAAGTGGGCTGCTTAAACTCATTAGTTCCAGATTACAGTAGGAAGCAACAGCATAAAAAGTGGCATTTTGATTATAATGAGCCTTTCCTTAGTCTTGCGCTACTGTCTGAAAAGGTCTGCACTTGAAGAGAATCCTTTGCTGTGTGCATCCCACTTCCGTGCACGGAACAAACTGAACTGTTCCGAAAATGTCCTTTTCTGTTGCTCTAAAATGAAATTTCCAGAAAGTTCTCCTGGAAGGCCTTTAGTTCAGTGAAACAGTTGATATGCTCTATTATTCATGAGCAATTTTAGCTCATGTGTTATTCAACCATGCCATTAGATTCTTGGAATCTAACAGAATTTGTCAATTTCCATGTTGGAGCCCCACTTTTGCATCCTTTTCTATCCTATAACTTATGAAATTCTCTCTCAATGAAGAAGCATCTTTGGCTTCTGGTTTTGCAGTGAGGTGATGGGCAGAGTGGGTAAGAATCCAGCATCTGGGTGCAGCAATAAAATTGGTTGCACAATTTTATTAGCAATTTAGGCACATGAGTCAATCTCTCTGAGATTCAATGTCTTTATCTGAAATAGGGGTCTGCATTTAAGAATTAAAT